TAAATAATAACATATATATATATATATATATATATATATATACATATGTATATAATGCATTATGATAAGAAAATATCGCTCATTTCTAAACGGCAAAAAAAGCAATAAATAATTAAATATTTTTTTGTATTTATAAAACAAAAAAAAATATATATGTTTTTTTTTTTTTTAATTTACTTTTGATTAGTATTTGCTAATATTATTAAAATAGCGCTTTAGGAGCAATCATTATAGAGTTTGTTGAAAACGATTTTTCAAAAAGGACACGACGTAATAAATTTCCAAAGATAACAAATGAAACAGAAAAAAAACAAATATATTAATGTTTATTACCTTATATTAATAATAATAATACATAACGTTATTCCTAAAATAGGGAAAGTGAAAAAACAAAATATCGAAAATATCAATAATTTAATCCGCCACAGCAAGGAAAAAAAAAAATAAATAAATAAAAGATATATATATATGTATGTACATACATAGGACATTTTATTCGCTCCAGCAATCGCTGCACAATTAATAAGGGCAAAAAGAATTTAATTCTATAGGAGCATTGAACTTTTTCCTATCAATTACTAGCGATAATGCTAACAAGAATTATCTTTCACGATTTCCTATTGCTATCAAGCGTTGGAATTAAGCAGCTGGACCATTGTAAATTATTTAAAAAATCATTTTTTTTCTTGTTGTTTTTTTTTTTTGCTTAACATTTTCTAGAATATGTGGTAAAATTTGATTACCCGCAAAAAAATTTTTCCTTTGGACTTTTGGCGGCTGACATTGCTGTTTGCAATTTTATCGACCGCTTGACTAGTATTTTAAAAATCATTAAAGTTTCGAAGATAGCATTGGTTGCATTAAAGCCGATGCTAACCGGATGAAGAAAACTGAGTGACTTTTGACAGATGGTGCAAAGAAGAAGAAGACTATTTGAACTTGGAACGATAATAGAAAAAAAATAATACAAGAAGCACATGTGCAAAATTTCAAACGCGTTTATCGCGAAACTCAATTTTTGAAATCGGCAAACAGCATAACTCAAACAACTTTCATTGATCAGAACATTATTCTCTATTAAAAGAATGCCTTTTTTTTCGTCGAACATTACATGATTTTTTTTTTTAAATTCAAATTTGGACCAGCTATGCTGCTTGTCGCCCCCTGCACTAAAGATGTCTTCGACCGAGACCGAGGCTGCGGTGTTGCCATTTTTAAACATTTTTCAAAAATACATTTCTTTCTGATACATTTTTTTTTTTTTTTTTTTTTGATCCAAAGAAGAATTGCCCAACAAACTCTGCTTTTAGCCGTTGCAGCGGTTCACTCTCTTGATTGGTTTTACTTCAAACTTTTTTTATTTAGCATTTTAATTGTGCTTCTTTCTGACGAGAAGCTCTTTACAATCTGCCTGAGTAGAGTCTTTTTTTGGTCGTAGCTATAGTGAAGGCATACCATTTACTGATCGGGCACACACCTACTAAACTGCGATCACCACTTTCTTATTTGTTTCGCTTTCCTCTGTTCTTTCTAACAGCCGCTCTCTTGCACGGTTAGAGGACATCCCTTGAACCGTTTAGTCATATAGAGAAAGAAAAAATTGTATATGTACGCAGTAAAGCTTGACATTAAGGCGTTACACATTTTAGGGGCAACCTACTCGATGAGGGAATGAGTCATCAAAAAGAACTAGTTCCCCATAGTTCTTTTCAATGAAAACAAAAAAGCGCTCATCTCACTAGAACAATAGAAAATATTGCATTCAAAGTACTGTTCAATGCTAGTAAATTTTTTATCTATCTCACTGATGGAATGCGAATTTCGTGCTGGACTGTTGTGGTCACTCCTAAAAACAAAAAGACTGTTTTCTCGAGTAAAATTGGGAGAAAGAAAGAGTTGGTCGGACCGCAGATCAGAAACGCCGCTTGACGGGCCAGGACGAAAGCAATTTGAACATAATTGTTTAACAAATTATTGAAAATGTGCTTCAGAATGGAGATTGGAAACATTTAAGACATCCCTAGGCATAATATCCTAAGTTAAAGTCACAAGACTACTTTTCCCCTTTCTCTCTTTCTCTTCCTGTCGTTTATTAACAACGAGGTGTGCGCTGCAGAAAACCCTCTTTGTTCATGTGCAGGCGACAGCATCTTCTGTTATCTTGTTTCCTTTCAATAAAAGTCTATCCAGCGTCGAGTTGTAAAATATACATAACATTACAAGTTTGTTCTCTCGAGGTCAATGACGAAAAATTGACACTCGTTCGTTTGACAGGCAATGCAATCGAAGTGTCGCAAGTAGCAGTCGCGAGGCTCATTGCCTTGCATCTGGTAACAACACCAAGTACGCCGCCTACATACGACCAAGATTTCATTGCAATTTGTATGTGTGAGAAGGAGCCTTCAAATCTTTCCTGAAGCATTTTCATTACGAGCAACAAACGAATCAAATACTCATGGGTTTGTCCAAAATCCTTAGAACTTAGAACGCAATTACATATGAACATAAATATGAATTTGTAATAAAAAAAATATGAAAAAGAAGAGAAGAGAAGAAAAGAAAACCAAAGGTCTAGTCATTTACCCAAAAAATTATTGGGTCATTTCAGTTCAATTTGTGTTCGATTTTCAAATAGAATCCACGCGACTCGTACAAAAAGTAAAAAGTTGAAAAAAATTGAAAAAATAAACATAAATAAATAAAAAGAAACGCTAATCACTGGACAAACCGGTATAATTAAATTAATTAATGAATTGATTAATCATCCATCATCTCAC